TAGCCATGTGATTCATGACTCTGTCAAGTTGATAATTAACACTATCATAACTATTGAACATGAGCTCCTGCTTGTTCAGGTAAGGTGATTCTGTGGGGTTCTCCATCCTGGTGTTTACCCCTTTGCTCATCATTCCTCTCTCTCTGTAACTGGATTCCAGGAGTTCAGCTCAGTGTTTAGCTGTGGGTGTCTACTTCTGCTTCCATCAACTACTAGATGAAGGCTCTAAGATGGTATATAAGGTAGTCTTCAATCTCATTATCATAGAAGGGCAATAAAGATAGCCTTTCCACTATTGCTTAGATTGTAAGTCGGGTTCATTCTTGTATATCTCTGGGGATTTTCCTGGTGCCAGATTTCTCATTAAATCTACAATGGCTCCCCCTATTATTGTATCTCTTTTCTTGTTCTCCTCCATTTTTCCCTTGTCTCAATCTTCCTGTTCCTTCATGCCCACCTCTCCCCTCCTCTTCTCCCCTTCTCTTTCTCCTAACTCCCTCTTCCTTCCCTCCATTCACCCAATTTGCTTGGGAGATCTTGTACCTTCTCCCCCGCCCCCTGCCTAATAGCTGGGAAACCAGCATAGGACTGGCCTCTGAATGTGGGTGTTAATTAGGAGGACTGGGCAGTCTATGGGGCCTCTGGTAATGTATCAGTATTTATCCCTAGTATATTAATGAACTTTTGGAGCCAATCCCACATAGAGGGACACTTTCTCAGCCTAGACACATAAAGGAGGGCCTAGGCCCTGCCTCAAATGATAGACTCCCCATGGAAGACCTCACCCTCCCTGGGGAGAAGAAAGGGGATGCATTGGAGTTTGAAGGGGGTGATAGGGAAGTATGGGAGGGCAGGGGAACTGGGATTGACATGTAAAACAAACTTGTTTAAAATTTAAATTAAAAAAAAAATAAATATTGAACATGATTTGCACAGTTTTTCTTTGTTTTAACATTTATTTATCATTATGTGTGTATGTTTATATATGTGAATGTTTGTCTGTGCAGACATCTCACAGTGCTGGTACCCACAGAGGACAGAAGAGAGTGTCATTCTCTGGAACTGGAGTTATTATAGGCAATTGAGAATTGCCTAGTGTGGGTGCTAGGACTTGAACCCAGGTCCTCTGAAAGAGTAGCAACTGAACTTAACTACTGAGCCATCTCTCTAGTTAATATTTTTCTGACATATAAAAAATTTAAACTCCTATTTTCCTCAGTGTGTCTTGTCTGATCACAGGACACATAAATCATATCTGTGTGTTTTTGTTTGTATTGATTTGTTTTGTAATATAATAAGGATCAATTCTGCTGAGGCTTGAAGATTATTTTTCACTCTCAGTGATCTATGAAATTTCCTTTTTCAGACTCCTAATTAAATTTTCAATTGTTAAAATGCAGCAACAGAGCAAGCTGTGCCCAATGAATTTGTCATATGACAAACATCTGAGTCATGTTTTGTAGAGGTTAAATAGAGGAGAACCCCTCTCCTCTAAGCTTTAACTCTTTAGGTGATTCTACTGTTTCCACCATGTCCTCTAAGGTAATTTTTATCATCCTAGAAAATGTGACTTCCTCAGTAGCCATATAAATATTTCTATATCCCAATGCCTTTTTCTTTGAAATTACCACTACTGAACCTGAATCACCCCCTTGCCTATGAGAACCCATTTGCACTATATTCTTCCTTCTCAATGTTTCCTGTGTTTGTTTGTTTGTTTTGTTTTTTTGGTAAGGCAGTGTATATTTTTCTTTTGCTTTCTCTGCTTTTTGATATGTATCTAAAACACATAAAATAGTTTTGACTTCTCTTGCCAAAAATTTTAAAGAGATATTTTCAAGTTTGTGTCTAGCATATAGCTCCGCATTCAAATAATTGGCTATCTTCTTTCCAATACTGATATTGATTTATTTTAAAGCACTATGCAAGATAAGGATTGTATAGTCTCCCTCACTGTACATAGAGTTTCAGAGTTCATTAATTTCTGTGCTGATTGGGTTTTGTCAATTTGACACAAACCTGGGCATAGTTTAGAAGAAGGAATTTCAATTTAGAAATTCCCTCCATCTTGTTGACCTAAAAGCAAGTCTGTGTCTTAAGATTATTTTGCCTGGTCTCAGAGCTGCACAAGCCCCAAATAACACACAGAGAACCTGTATTAGATATAAAGCTGTTGGCCAGTTGCTAGTGTTTCTTATTGGCTAATTCTGTCTTAAATATTAAGCCATTTCTATTAATCTAAGTATTTCCACATGGTCCTACCTTACCAGAGAGAGGACTGGGACTTCTGTTCTCTTGGTCCTACATATTTAATCTCCTCCTTCCTTCCCTCCTCCAGAATTCTCCTTTTCTCCTAGTTCTGCCTATCTTGTTTTCCTATTGGCCAACAGGGCTTTATTCATTAACCAATAAGAGAAACATATTTACAGAATGACATCTCCCATCATCTCTTCTTTTCTGTCTAAATAAAAATTGCTGTGAAGGATCAGCCTGTTGTAGATATTGCCACCCCCTGGGGAAGCAGTCCGGGGTTGAATGAGAAGGCAGGCTGAGCAAGCCATTGGAAGCAATTCAAAAAACAATGTTGCTCTATGGTATTTGCTTTATTTCCTGCCTTAAGTTTCTGCCCTGCTTTCCCTCCTGATAAAGAACTTTAGCCTGCAAACCAAATGAACCATTTCCTCCCCAAGTTGCTTTTTTTTTCTTATTTTATCTTTTTTTTTGTAGTTAAATTAGAGATGATCTTATTTTATATATCAATCCCAGTTCCCTCTCCCTCCCATTCTCCCATGCCCTCCACTGACCCCCATCCCATATCACTTCTGCTCCATAGGAAGGGTTAGGCCTTCACCACCGGAGATCATCAAAGTCTATCACATCATTTGTGGCTGTGTCTAGGCTGAGAGAATATCCCTCTATGGGGAGTGAGCTCCCAATGTCCATTCATATACTAGGTGTAAATGTTATTCACTGCCCAGGCCTCCTAACTGTCACCCACATGCATGGCCTAGTTCTGTCCTGTGCTTGTTTCCAAGCTATCAGTCTGGGGTCCATGAGCTCCCTCTTGTTCAAGTCAGCTGTTTCATAACCCCTTTGCTCATCACTCCTCCTTCTCTACAACTGGGTTCCAGGAATTTGGCTTTGTGCTTAGCTGTGGGTCTCTTCTTCTGTTTCCATCAGCCACTAGATGCAGGCTCTATGATGGCATATAAGCTAGCCATCAATCCCATTATATGGAAAGGACATTTAAGAAAGTCTCTCCCCTATTGCTTAAATTCTTAGTTGGGATCATTCTTGTGGATCTCTGAACATTTCCCTGGTTCCAGATTTCTCTTTAAACACATAAGGGCTCCCTCTATTAAGGTATCTCTTTTCTTCTCTCCTCAGTTTTTTTCCCTATCTGAACCTTCCTGTTCCTTCATGCCCACCTCTTCCCTCCTCTTCTTTTTTCTGTCTCCTAACTCTCTCCCTTCCCTTCATGCTCCCAATTTACTTTTGGTTGTAATGTTTTATCACAACAGAAACTGAACTAACATGTCATCTTCCAATGCATTGCCTTTTTTAAAATTTCTAACCTTCTGTTGAATTATGTGTCTTCTAGCAATTCTTCACCAACTTTTATATATTCATCACTAGTTTTCTTCATAGATTCTACTTGTGTGCCTACTTTACCTCAGTGGTTTCTATTTAGTGTGTCAACAACATTTTCTATTATATGGCAGTCATGTGATTCAGTACTAGCAAAACAGAGCACAATGATAATCCATGGCTGTGATTTAATTAACAATAAATTCTGGTGTGTTTCTGCCCAGGTTATTTTAAAAGTCTGCCTCACTCCTCACCTGAAATTTAAGAAAATGAATTTAGTCTGTCCATATTCACCACAAGAAGTATGAAAATGAAGACAATCCAAAAAAAGATGAGAGAGACTCATAGAAGAAAAGTAGCTATCAAGATTATAGTTTAAGTCTGAAATGGGCTTTCCTCTCAAATGTGTCAGAAATATATCTGAAAATCCTCATGCTCCTTAAACTAATTGATTGGCTGATCAGGCACATAAACAAATAATTGTTGTATGTTTTCCTGTTATGTTATATATTTTGCACACAGTATTAGTTACTTTTATCCTGCTATGAGAAAATATTACAACCAGAAGTACCTTCTAGAAGGAAGGGTTGGTGTGAGCTATGGTTCCAGAAGGATTGTTTATAATGATGAAAGAAGCACCACAGCAGGTTAACAGAGCAGGAAGCTGAGTCAGTTTGGAAAGGTTCATAAAGTACCATTGTGGCTAGGCTTAATTTATGGTATAAGGTGGCACAAGGAACTTACAGATAGCTGAATTGCCCCTCTTCCCCCAATCTTTTCATTAAACTACAGCACTATTGTGCTTTTGGATAAGATGTTACTTTGGGAGGATCAAATGGAATACAAACTACTCAATATAGAATAAGCCAGCTGTGCTGCTTTAAGGTTTATAGCTGAAGAATTCTCTACCAGCATATGGCAAAGGCATTCACATACCCATGTTTATCACAACAGTATTTACAAGGGTCAAGCTGATACTTGAACTAGTTGACAGATAGCTAGAACAAGAAAATGTAGAATATGTACAAAAGAGATTTATTAAGTCAAAATCTAAATGAAATGAAGTTGTTTCTAGTAAAAACAGATGCAATTAAAGATTATCATATTAAGTAAAATGGGCAAACTAAAAAAAAAATACAGTTTTTTATTTCACTTATGGATCCTAGATTTTACATGAATACATAAAATCACTTTATAAATGCATATGTGGAATGAAATTAGAAAGGGAGGTTAGGGAAATAAAGTAGAAGAGAGGGCAGAGAGGAATTATGGAGAGATAGCTGTGTCACAGAATATTGTATGCTTGAATAAAATTGTCATTATGAAAATCAGCAGCACTATGTAATATGAATGCATGTCAATTCTAAAAAGCACACATATATGAATTTCATTTTCAAAAGAAAACATTTTACCTTTTTTCACCCAGTTGAGAAATTTTAGGCAATGTTGTTTTTTCAGGTAAGAATATTTGACGATATTGCTTGATAAATGTATTATGAGCTGTCAAATTAAGCGAAGAATGCCTGCTTAGAAAAAGAGAGAGAAAAGTGTAAGTATAACATACAATAGCTTTCTATAGAGAGCTTTAATTCAGTATATTAATTCTGTATCAATTTTATGTCAAGCCTTTTATTTCTGCAATTGAATAAATTCAATTCAATATAGCATAATAAAAATTCTCCAAATTGATTCTGACATCTATTTATATACTTATAACCAGAGAATGCAATTTTCTGAATCTTTGCAATGATTCATGAAAACTTTGTACACTATTTTTAGGTCTTTAATAAAGAACTGTTATGTGAAAATCCTCAGCAGTCCAAATTCTGGAATAGTTAGTATGGTTTTGGTAAGTGGAGTTTCTGTTATCTTTTACTGATAAATCCTTTGGTGGGTAAGGGTAGATTTAGCTTCTTTAAACACCCCACTGTGAATGAATTCTTTCACTTTAAATACACCAATACAGAAGAACCATGGAAATAAGGGAAATTATCATAAAACATTGGATAATAACCATTGTTTCTAGAAAATCTGCCTCATTCAGTTTTCAAGTGACAACCACCATAAAATGTTGTCAAGTATTCCTCTTGATATCTAATTTCAATAATTAGTAAAAATGGCCATTTTTTTTCAGATTGAACATTGACAAACATCTTGGGCAATATTTGCTTCATGGGGATGAATATAAAAATCCCTCAGTAAAAGTCTTTTTCTTGTTTTCTTGTCAGTGCAAACAATGACACATACATATGTTTGCAACAACTTCTTTTTCTCTGGGCTATATTTTCTAAAACACTGTATTGTTATTTCACACAAAATGAATAACATGTAATTTAATATCTCATTTTATTTACCATGATTCAAACACTAAAACATGAGTGTGGTTTAATACATTGGGTATTTTAGTTCTTTTCTCACACCATGTACATATACTGATCAAGTATCTACTCAGTTTTTAGATCTGTCCACTTATGTCTGTGGAGAATTTAAAAAAAACTCCCACATGTATACTTGGAAACTCACATTCAATAATCATCTGTTAATATCTTTAAGTACTTGTTCTATTCTATATACTGTAGTAAGTTTCCATTACATAGTTGTATAACCTACTGATGTTGAAGCATACCTATTTTCATATAAGATACAATTACTTTAATGTTTATTTACACCATATAACTAGGATGTGAGGGATATATGATAGAAATTAAAATTTAACTGATTTGAAAGCTTCTGAGATATGGTGACCCAACTAAAAAAATATTTCTTATTATGTCAGGAACTATTTTAACCAATTTGAATATAGCACATCATTTAAATGTTTAAATACTTTTATCCCCATTTCATATGTGTGGAACTTGAGACTCAAAGAACTATAAAAGTATTTTTTTCTTATCTACACACAGCCATGGTGTAAACCTTAGAACATTATTCTAAACTGTGGTATGGATAGATCATCTTTGGAGTGGATTAAAAAGATTTCTTCCCAAAATGGAGACCTGATTTCCTCTTGTCTATCACCTTCTACAAGTGTGACAGATATCTTCTTTATCTAATTCTTGGGATTTTTCAACATAAATTGGATGATGTACATGAATCCAGTATTTATGATCTTGACATTTGGAAACAATATGTCCAAGAAGCAGAATGAAAGCATCAAGTATTAGGTTTGGAAAATGGCATAAAGTCCCTTATGATACTGGTGATACATGTTCTACGTTAGAAAAAATATGCTGGTCATATATTTCTACTGTGTCTCCTATATACAGGGACCATGATATTGATTAAAGTACAAAAGAAGGTACAATAAAGCAGGAACTGGTAAACTGAAGCAAGCATGTCCTCAAAGAAGGATCTATGGCCCACTCATTAAAAGTACATTTTAAAAACTAAAATGTCAGGAGCCCAATGTAGTCAGTCCCTACAATCCTACAATTATTTTTCTAAAAGGCATAAACCTATACTCTCATTTTAAATTTTTGAATTTTTTTACATGTAGATAACTACAAAAACTGATAACTACAAAAACTACAAAACCATATCATATACTGAAGCCTTAAACCTGCATTTGGTGACATACAAGGGACACTAAAAAATAGAACCTAACTCTGTATAGTAAGAAAAGGACACAGTATAGAAAAATATAGAGAAGTCTTTGAAATAAATATAAAAATTGGTGTTTCTTTTATATATTGGAGTTATTATTTAGACATAAAGCTATCATTTATGAATAAGGAAATTATTCCCATGAGGTTTAAATAATCTTTCCAAGTTTATGTAAAGAAAAACCATGTTATGTAAATGTAGATGTCTTGATTTCAACACTAGGTCTTTTTTATTATTAGAGTATGTGCAGTCTAACAGGGGAGACAGGAAGCAAGGGTGCATGTCAAGCAACTAGGAAATTCTGCCTAGGATTCTAGTTGATATATATCAACTCCCTAATGACAAATAGCAACCTCTCTCTATTACAACTGGACTCTAGAAAGTGAAATATAAAAGAGAGAAAAGATAGGATGTTTTTGGCCCTTAAAATACTTTCTATCAAAGATACCCAATGTCCTTTCCTTGTATAGACTGGTTTATTAAAACAAGCAAAGGAAGCTTCCAGATTAGTACCAACTGTATTTTTCCATGATCTGCATTCAAAGTGTCTGGTTTCTTCAACAACATTCTGTCCATCAAGCTATAGTGGGCAACTAAGAACAATGGCAATATCTATATTGTTTAGGGTTGTCTCTGGACATGTCTGACCAACAACTCAGGGTAAAATAAAAGAACAAAATTTTCGTAGGCTCCTAAAATTCCAACCTAGAAACAACTGGTCCATCAAAAGGAAAAAACAAAACAAAACAAAACAAACTATATATATATATATATATATATATATATATATATATATATAACCATAATGAGAGTAAATAAAAAATAAAGAAAGAAAAAAGAAGGAAGGAAAGAAGGAAGGAAGGGAGAACAAAAAAGAAAAAAAACAGAGGTTTATCAAAGTAAACTACCAGGGCTTATTATTTATTCATGCTAGATGGAAATATTCCACACAATATTTTTGGGCATATATTCTCCTCAAGCTCTTAATAAAATGTTCACCAATAAATTATAGTTATATATTTATCCTAAGGAAATTTATATTATTGTTCTAAATTAAATAAGTCATGAAAATTTAATCCATTTGACTTCTTATAGTTTCCACCAGAACTTGTCTTTCAAATAATATCTATACATTTTCTCAATGAAAATTGAAAGAAATATGAGAACAGGTGAAGAATGATATGTAAGCTAGCTAAATATATGGAAATTATGCACAAGACACACATAAAGTTAAAGAACATGCTATGGAAAGATGCCAATAAATTTAACATTAAGTCCTTCATCTAATTAAAAAGTTCATTCACTCAGTGATCTTCTAATTAATTATATTATAGCACAATTCTAGCCAATCTTCATTACACTTATTTCAAAACTAATTTAGAACCATAAATCTCTTGATATGAAATCATTGGGTCATCTTCCTGACTTATAGACATAACTTGTTAATGTTCAAATGGTGTTTTATCAAGATAGAGACAACCCAAGCAGCCAAACATAATGCTTAATTCTTTACTTCTCATTTTCAAAAAATTCCTAAAAATGTGTCTGAAATACTAATCAAATAATGACTTTAAGAGGTACTTTAAAGAAGAGATTAAAAAAAATCTGTAAATTCAAGGAATTTTGTTAACATAAACATGAGGGAAGAAAGTGAGGAAGGGGGTTATATGTGGACAGTTATTATGACTTTAAAGTTCCAAAAGTACAAATGAAGGAAAGGCATTGCAGCTGTGGTGATTTGAATAATAATGATCCCCATAGTCTCATATTTGTGAATACTTGATCTTCAGTTGATGAGTTGTTTCAGAAAATTACATGTGGCCTTGTATGTTCTTGTTGGAGGAGGTGTCAGTAGGGGTAGGCTTTGAGTTTTCAAAAGCCCAACCAGGCCCATTCTCTCTCTGTGTCTCTGTCTCTGTCTCTCTCTCTCTCGCTCTCTGCCTTCAGCCTGCCTATCTTGTCTGCTTTCCACCATAATTAACTGTAACCAAGCCTATTAGATGCTTTATTTTAGAAGAGTTGCCTTGATCATAATGTTTCTTCACAGCAATAAAATGGCATTTGAGACAAAAATAGTTATCATTGCTATGATAGGCCTGACAAAACTATTTGTTGGAGAGTATGGGGAATTTTGAGACTTTGGATTAGAAAAGGAGTTGAGCACTTTAAGAGGAACTTAATGGTTTATTCTAGTAGGAACATAGAAGCTAATAGAGGGTGATTTGGACTGTGAAAGCTTTGCTCCAGTGGTTTCAAAAGAAAAGAATATTGGTAAATGACCTACAGAACATTCTTGTGCTATTTTGGCAAAGAACCTTGTCCTAAAAACCTACCTGAGGCTAAATAGAAAAAGAAAATGGATTAATGTAAATGGTAAAGATTTTGAGACAGCCTAGCAGTGACAAATATATGTAGTAATCATTCTTATGAAAATCTACAATGAAAAGGAACAAGCAGAACAAAAAAAAAAAAAAAAAAGAAATAGAAGCTATACAGTTTAAAGCAAAATGAGGGAGCCTCCTGAGGACTGGGGACTGCATGCTGGGGAGCCAGTCCACACAGAGCAGCCCATCCAGAGTCTGCCTGCACCCCCACAGGAGGGGGTAAGCTTGAGCCTGTGTCCAGCCTACCAGTCTAGAGTCTGCCAGCATTCTGGTCCGGCCTCCACCCACTGGAGGAACCTGCCTTCCAGTGCCATGCTCACAACCTCCTGAGGACTGAGGGCTGTGTATGGGGTAACCCATCCAAGTAGAGCAGCTCATCCAGAGTCTGCCAGGAGAGCCATATGAGTATTGCAACTATTGCATCCACCAGAAGAGAATCCTGGTCCTGTACAGGAGAGAGCGAGACCCCACTAGAAGAAGGGATGGGTAGACAACAGTATAAGAACACAGTCAATATGAGGACACCAGAGTCTAGGGAC